GTTAGCACTGCTGCCCCACAGCACCAAGGACCTGGGTTCAACTCCACCCTCGGCCGACTGTGTGGAGTTTGCACATTCTCCCCGTGTCTGTGTGGGATTCTTCTAGGTGCTCTGGTTTCCTCCCACAGTCCAAAGATGTGCAGTTTAGGTAGACTGGCCATGCTAAATTGCCCATAGTGTCCAGGGTTGTGTAGATGGATTAGACTTGGGAACTGCTGGGTTACAGGAAAAGGGCAGGTGATTGGACCTCAGAGGGTTGGTGTGGACTTTTTGGGCCAAATGGCCTGTTGCCACACTGTATGGATTCAATGTCTCCACTCCCCATTTGCCTTTTGCACGGGCTGTTAGGGGTGCTGTGGGTTTTTACCAAAATCCCTTTCTCCTCTAACCTCTGAATTATCGGGAGGATTCCTGCGGTAGATGTCGGGCTGATGGGGCACTGTTTAGTGCCAGGTGGAGGTATCCCTGTGAAAGTCACAGGTTCCATTTGCAGTAACTCGCAGTCGTCCTTGTCTTTAGCTCAGATGGGGTGGTCTTGTAATTATTCCCTTTGTAGGGCTCTGATGGACCACGTTATCTGTCCAACATTGAAATGTAAAGAGGAATTTAGTTGGGCAAGGATATCCATTCCAAGGAACGGCTGGGCTACAGGTCCTACCTGTACAAAGGTCACTAACTTATGGGGACTAAATGTAATGTGCGTGGGCTTGTCCTTTTAATTTCGATCCTATCACCTCCTATTCCGTAACCTAGTCTCACTGTCCCGCATAGTGGGAATTTGGTCTCGTACTTCTGGGGTAGGCACTGTTCCTGTGTCCTAAAGGTGCTCAATGTCCAGGTTGCCCACCGTTATGGTCACATACAATCCATCTCCCCTCTGCTGGCATAAAGCCAGTAGGAACATAGAGAGATACGGGGCAGGCTTTCTCAGTTTTTTGTCATCTTTAGCAGCTCCTGCCACTGCTGGTGGTTAGCTCCTTAAACTGTTCTCGGAGATCAGTCTTACTCCCAGTTTCCGGGGTCTCCTCTTCCTTATTGTTTATTGGGTGACTTTGCCCTTTTGCCCTTTGCCAGTAGCCTCTGGCCCAGTGGCCTTCCTTCCCACAGACGTAACACTTCCCTGGACGTTTGTCTTGGGTCTTCCTGGAGTTGCTGGGAATCTGTCCCATCTGTAAGGTTTGCAATTTGGTGCCCGTATCTCGGTCAAGCTGGTGGGCTCAGCCCACTAGTTCATAATAATTAGTCCCCCTCTGGTCCCAGTCCGGTTTGGTGAGCTTTAACAGCTCAGTAAGCTTAGGTTTAAGTCCGGCCACAAAAGCAGACTTCAGTGGGCTGTAATCACAAACTTCAAAATCCCTATTGCCCTGCACGTCTGGGACTCCCGCATACTCTTTCCAGGTTGTCCTAAATCTTTCCTCGTATTCTGGGACTTCCTCTGCAGCTTTTTGACAGCAAGTTGTGACTTTCATCCAATCAATCTTCGGGGGGGCTATACCTGTGTAACCAATGTTTTATTGATGTCCAGCCAGCTTACAGCTCCTGCTCGTACTCACCTTTGACTGCCTCATGGAGAAAGCATCCTTCTCTCTCGGTGACAATGACATTCAGAATCTGTACCCGATCCCAGGGATGCAGCATATATATTCCCCTTAACCGGTCAAGGCTTTCCCATGTCTTCATTGGCCCCTTCTTTGGGTGAGGCATTTCCTTAGGCCACCTGTCCATGTTTTCAGGGGTCACAGATGTATGCACAGTGTGTTTCTCAGCCTGTTTTATTGGAACATCCACCTCAGTGCCATCCTCTAACCTTTGCCTTACCACTTTCTCTAATTCTACCTTCTTAGTTTTAAAGTGTTGTAAAAATGGAGCCAGGGATATACAGTCCTCATTGCTTTCACTGCTAGAGGACCCATCACTCTTGTCCCTCTGTTTCCCAAGGGCGATAGCTTGGTTTTGCTGAACCACTTCCATGATGTCAAGGATAGTTGGATACAAATTCTGTACGGGCTTGGGAACTGGGCAAGAAACTGACAAGACTGTTACCTTGTCCTTCGGTTTCTGTTTTGTTTCTCAAGCTCCCGATTTCTAAGTTTAGCTTTTCCTTGCTTTGGTCTCTGCTTTTGCATCTGTTCATGCATTGCTTTTACTTGCTCTTTAAGATGGTTTAATTCGCGATCATCTGATCAAGACATGATTTCATTCCTTAGGTGAATTTGTCCCATTAACGTAAGGAACCATTTACTTCTGTCCTTACCTTTCTGTCGGCTGGTTTCTCCCTGGACCCATTTCATGTCGTCTAGAGTCCACTGTCTTTTGGGAATATTTCTGCCCAATTTTGGTTAGGGTTGTCCCTAGCGAGACCTGTACTTCAAGGTAGTTCTGTAACTGCCACAGCATTTCTTCCTCGGTTATGTCAGGAGGGGCCAGCCCACCTTTGGAGGTCATTGGCAGCTGATTGGGGTCAATCATGGTCACTCAAATGCTTGTGCTGTAGGCAATTTCAACCAATTTGGAGTGGTTCGGGTCTGGATGCCGGGGATTAGAAAAATAGCCAACTCATGAGGGGTTTGGGATCGCATTCAGGGACTAGGTCACCATTCTAGGAAGGACATTTCTTACCTTTGTAGTAGTGTCACTGACAGGTCAGTTACTATGGTGTGCCCAGTGATCTTGCCAACTATGCCAAGTTGTGGGATTGTGTCCAATAACGAACTAGATCAGTGAGTGGTGAAAATAGCCTCCGTATTGAGCATCTGCAGTACACAGTCCGAGGCAGTGATGGAATCCAAACTACAGTTTTACAGTAGCCTCTTTATACACAGTTCTTACATACATTAAAATTTTAAGACTATGGTGTTACATAGTTGTATCTATTGTACACAAATGTTTGTGTGACATCTGTCCTGGGGAAGAGGAGTGAGTTTAAGCACTTACTAAATACTGGCTGTTACTCCTAATGGAATTGGAATGTCTGTCCAGTCTGAGCTTGCAAAATTAAGATGTGTTAGTCCTTTTGTCTTTAAAGTTAGTAGCGTTAGTAAAAATACTACACCTATACGATCTAATCAAGTGAGAAATTATACGTGTACAAAATAAAAGTATGGAGGATATTAATCTGATCACCCACAGCTGGGTCATGAGATTTCATTTACTATTGCCGGTTTTGACAGTTCTTACACGTTCATTCAAGCAGCTTCACAGAAGTGCTATTTTAATAGTAAGTGGCCCTTAGTAGGGTGGTGGCCCTATTTAAAATGTATCTAAAGAGTACATACTAGTGGAGGAAACTGTTTGACGTCTGCAACCTATTCAGGTCCCGAGAGATGGTTGCTAAGGGCTAAATAATAGTATAATCTTTCCATAGTTTCGACTGTGTGGGGATGGCATTGTTCTGAGTAGGTTACAGCATTAACACTTATTCAGGGGTAGCCGTTGATACAGGAACAGGTCTAAACACTGCTTGCAACATGGGACTGATAAGAATCGAAAGGTGTAAATGTTTAATTTAATTTAATTCAGTTTATAAAATGTACCTCAAAAACACGGTTTCATGAATGAGTGAATCAAATGCAAAATAGTAAACATAATGCGCTTGTCAGTGAGTTAGTAAAAAGTTATGAATGAATGGAAATGGGGTATAGTACACATAGTGTGCTTGTGAGTGAGTTGGTACAGAGAATCATAATACAGTATCTCATAGTATGAGAGGCATAGCTGCAAGAAGATCAGGGCTGGGAACTAAATATTCAAAGATACAAGTCCTATTGAAAGGACAGGCAGATAGGCAGAGGGGGTGGGGTTGCCTTGCTAGTAAAAAATGAAATTAGTGGCAAGAAGTGATATAGAGTTGGAAGGCGTAGAATCTGTGTGAGTAGAATTGAGGAACTACAAAGGAGAAAAAACCATGATGGTAGTTGTGCCCAAGCCTCGTAGCAGTAGACTGGGTGTGGTGAAGAAAATAAAACAGGAGATAGAAAAGGCACTAATTTAATAATCATGGGGGTCTTTAATATGCAAGGGGTCTGCAAAATCAGGTTAGTAGTGGATCACAAGAAAAGAGGTTCATGGAATGTCTATGATATGTTTTTTTTTGGAGCAGCTTGTGGTAGAGCTTAATTGGGAACTAGCAATTCTGGATTTAGTGATGTGTAATAAGGTAGACTTAATTAGGGAGCTAAAGGTGAAGGAAACCCTGGGGCAGTGGCCATAATATGTAGTCTGAGAGGGAGAAACTGGAATCAGAAATAATGGCACTACAGTAGAGTAAAGGTAACTACAAAGTCATGAGGGGGAAGCTGGTCAGAATTGGTTGGAAGGGGACCCTTGCAAGGAAGACAGTGGAGCAGCAATGGCAGGAGTTTCCGGGAATAATTTGGGAAGAAGAAACATATGAAGGGGAGGATGAGGAAACCACGGCTAGCAACAGAAGAAGATTAGTGAGAAATTAGAGGATTGGGAAGCCTTTAAAAATCAGCAGAGGATAACTAAAAAAAGCATAACGGGGGCAAAAATGAAACATGAGGGTAAGGTAGCTAGTGATATAAAAGAAGATTATAAGAGTCTTTTTAGATATATAAAAGGTAAGAGAGAAGACAGTTGGTAAATGAGGCTGGAGAAGTAGAAATGAGGAACAAAGAAATGGTGAAGGAACTGAATAGGTACTTTGCATCAGTTTTCACAGTGGAAGATACCAGCAGCATGTCAAACTTCAAAAGACTTCAGTTTTAGTTACTGATGTGTTGTGGTGCCCATTCTTTGGGTGAAGAGGTAACCATTTGGACTAGACACATAACAGGTACAGAAATGCTACACACACCAAAAAACAGAAGTTGCTGGAAAAGCTCAGCAGGTCTGGCAGCATCTGTGAAGAGAAATCAGAGTTAACACTTCAGGTCCGGTGACCCTTCCTCAGAACAGAAATATTATATACTAATGGAATCAATTTGTGAAACATTCTTCAACATTGTGTTCATGATAAATGAGACAGAATCACTGAAATATTTACTCACATTCAAACCTTTATCTGCCCTCTGTTCCCTAATCACTTGCTGCTTTTGCATTCCATTATTGTGTGGCAGAGTCAGAATCATTCATGACTACAGATTGAAATTTACATCAATTTAACCAGTGGAGTCAGGTTTACATGATTACAGGGTTTACATTAGGATTGTTCACATAATCAGTAAACTGTTTCAAAATAAAAAAAAAACATTTTGCATGCTCTAATCTGTTCAACATTGGTCTCTGTAGACTTCAAAGGTTCACAAAAAGCTTCAATCTGAATCAGGATCAAGATCAACTGGCTTTACACTGGTGTAACATTTTCAAAGCTGAGTACATTCTACCAACGCAATATTTTAAGATATATCAGCAAGGTTTGAGCATTGCTAAACAAAAAGGCAGATTTTGTGTCAAGACAACAAAGCAGATAATAGCATTCCCTGGTGTATCTCTCCATTGGTAACACCTTGACCAAGCTGTGTCAATCTTGCCTGGTTTAACATTTAAACTTGACTTGGTAGTTAACTGTCAGTCATAATTAACTGGTGAACTGTCCATCGCAATGCATCTACCAATTAGAGTTTGTTTGCCAAGTAATCAGCACTTCCTCACAACATATAAATATTGCTTTCGTTTTACATTAGTTAGCATTTCTTGTGAATCGCTCTGATGAGTATAAGTTGGGAAGTCTTTTTAGTGATATACAAGGCCAGTACTATCAAATACTATATATAAAAAAAATGAATTGTAAACCTGTATGTGGTAGCTTCATTATTGTTGGAGCGGAAGGTTTTCTAAAAAAATTAGATTTGTAGTCATCAGCCGAGTAAACATCTCTGGTACTGATAGAGCAATTTCCCATTTTTGTTACAGTAGCTGAAATAGCTCCATTCCCTCCCCTGACAAGAGTTTGTTGAGTTCCGGATCCCAATTCTACTCTAGCGAAACAACATGAAGGCTCAAGTTCGTAGTACATCTTGTAATACAGTTTTTCATCTGTCATTTCAGGCTCAATCGGGATGTATAAAGCTAAAACTGTAGAGTACAGATTATAATCATAGGGGTTCGAGAACAGCAGTGAGAACTGGGTATAACCAAAAGCATAGGTGAGCACCCCAACACTTCCGCGAGCCATGCCTGAAGTCTTAACAAACAGAGCATCTCCTTTCTTCCTGAGGTAGATCAAGGGTGTTGGCGAGTTGTATATATAATCGCTGTAAATGTAAGTCCTAGAGAGAAGGACACAGAGTATTAAGAGCACAAGAAATAAGATCAGGAGTAGGCCTTTTGGCGCCTTGAGCCTGTTCCACCGTACAATAGGATCATGGCTGATCTGACATTGCACGCACCTGCATTCCTGCCTTTTCTCCGTAAGCCTTGACTCCCTCACTGATCAAGAATCTATCCATCTCAGACTTAAAGATAAACAAGGACTCTGCCCCCACAGGTCTCTGTGACAAGGAATTCTAACGACTCTCAATCCCTGAGAGAAGAAATTCCTCATTATTTCAGTCTTAAATCAGCATCTCTTTATTCTGACACTGTGCCTTCTGGTCCTAGACTTTCCCATGAGGGGAAACATCCTCTCAGTATTTACCCTGTCAATTCCCTTAAGAATCCTGTATGTTTCAATGAGATCACCTCTCATTCTTCCAAAGTCCAGTGAGTACAATCCCAAACAAAAAACTAAAAACCGAGGATGTTGGAAATCTGAAACATAAATTGAAATTGATAGAGAAACTCAGCAAGTGTGGCATCATCTGTGGACAGAAAGCAAAGTTAACATTTCGGGTCCAGTGAACCTTCTTCAGAAGCTTAACTTCAATAGAGTTCCAACCTGTTTAGCCTTTGCTCATAAGACAATCCGTCCATACTAGGGATCATCCTAGTGAATCTTCCCTGAACTGCCTCCAGTTAAGGAAGGATTTATTTAAACCTCTGAAAGCATTTCCTCACAATTACAGCTGGAGGAGGATTAATCTCTAAAAGTCTGAATAGGAGGTCGACAGCAAATCAATCAGGATCAAAATTACTGATATAAACCAGCCAGGAAATGAAATTGCTCTGTACTAACCTCAGTGGATTCATATCAAATTAGTTCACCTTGTTTATTTTAAACATCAACGTAGCTAATTAAACACGCAGGAAGTCAAATTTTGTTTTAGTGCTGCAAACTCACCATTCCTGACACAGGCAGCTGGGCAGACTGAAGTTGTGAATCTCAATTATCTACAGACATCACAAACTCCCAGACAGAAGCCTTGAGGTTGTCATGATGTCTGACATTCCCTCATTGTCTTTGCCCTACCGTTTCCTTCAGCTAAATAGGCCCTGTGCTGGGTATCCACTTTGCCAGCCTTTTCTCTCTTCCCACATGATCATAATGAATGGCTGGGTAGGCCCAAAGAGCTGAATAGCCTAATCCTGCTCCTAGTTTCTATATTTCAGATCAAATGCACCACGACTTCAGTCAATCCATCCTATTATCTCCTTCTTGTACCTGATTCCACTCCTGTGAACTTCCTTGGTATGTTTGCCTATATTATTGCTGGTACATAAACCTAAGTTGTGAGTCAAGGCCAGCTGAGTTCAAATCAACTCATGGGAAATTTTACAAAGACTTTTTCAAAGTACGCTGCTTGTTGAGTGAAGGCAAAACTAACTGAGACCTTAAACTATGTGTGTGATACATATTTACCTTTAATGAATAGCTTATCTACTTAAGGCAAACAAAGATGAGTACATTTTAGAGAAAGAAATTGAAAGTTGTGCTGCTGGTGCTAGTAGAGGCTGGTGGGGGAAGACTTATGTAGAGCATTAACATTAGTGTGGACCACTTTGGTTGCTTGGCCATGTTCAGTGCTGCACATCCTGTGAAACATGTAATTTTATCAAAGTAAAATTCTTACATTTATATAGTGCTTATCGAAACCTCAGGATATCCCAAAACATTTTATAGTCAATTAATTATTTCTGAAGTGCAGTTGAAACCAGGTAGCTTCCACAAACAGCAAACTACTACCATACACATTCTGTCAGTAGAACTGTCAAGAAAGCTCTAGCTTAATGTTGTGCTGTGAGTTCCTAAATGGTTGTCAGCCCATTCTGTCACATTTTGGCTTGTCTGGAAACTATGAATAACTACACACACACATGTGCAAGGATTGCTGGTGAATTCTGGGATATCCACTGAGTGGCAAGTTGTTCTGGAAGTGGGGCATGATAAGATAGGGCTGAAATCAAATGTGAGGAATGCCATAGGGGTGGGGTTAATAGTTAATCAGGTGAGTTCGATAAGATATAGTGAAAAAACTCTCGAGGTTTTAAAGGGGAAATCCCTCTAAAAAGCCCAACACAACTCAGACTTCGCCAAAAACATACAATTCAGCCCTGCTTCTTGTTGAGCTGAATGTTTTTTATGTCTATTAATAATATTGCAATTTCCACTACTATGATATCTCAAACCTTCACATAACCTGTGTTCTGTGCTTACTATTATCATCACATAAGAACATACAAACAAGGGACAAGAGTAGGCCATTCAGCCCTTCAATGCTGCTCTGCTATTCACTGAGATTACAGCTGCTTTTAGCCTCAACTCTTTATCCCTACATATCGTGGATAATTTTTCGTCCCCTTGGCAATCAAGAATCTATTTGCTTATACCTCTGTCACATTGCATATATGTGACTGACCGACCACACCACACTCCCTTGCAGTGAGAGCAAATAACTGACAGCAAGGACCTCTTATACTGGAATGTCACAAGTTGGGATATCATGTGACTGTTTTAAAGTTACACTGCCTTTTGGGTCTGGAATCTATGTGATAATACAACATTCCCCTTTCCCTTTAGAGTTTAGGGAATTTTTTTTATAAACATGTACAATGATGATATGGATGTATAATTTCTACACATTAAAATAATCCCTTCTGAACATATAACATGATCAGATCACAATCTGTAGTATGCTGTCTGTTGCACATCATTTGGTTTTTGTCCTGCTTGATACTTTGAAAATCGAAGTTGCCAGCCTGGATGATGGGTGGTTGATGAAATGCCATTTGGATAAGTTAACTATTTATTGTTAGGGCTTGACCATTGGTCATCACAACATCATATGACCTAGGCTGGATACAATGACATACTATCTGTCCACAGATCCATGTGTTCATGTGAAAATCTCAAACTCTGATCTTTGGTTTGAGCTGGTTCAGGTTGGGGTAACTGTTTGCATGCTCTTCTACCATTAGGACCTTCTTTCCAACATTGTGTTGTGCACATGTGGTTGGATGGTCACAGTATGAAAGGGAAGAACTGTCCCCATCTATCTGCCAACGCATGACAGCTGTTGGTGAGGGTAAAGTTTGAGGAGTAGCACATGGACATAGCATAGAAATCCAAAAAATCTTGACAAGTTGTGATTATCATGAGTTTTGCCACGGGAATAGTGCATTCAGTGAGACTTAGACTGAGGTCAGTGAGGGGAAGATGTAATATGTTAAACACCCCATTTCCCACATACCCAGTGTACTGCAGACCATTGTCAAGCACAATTTGTTGAGGAAGATAATGGTGAATTTGTCAACAACTGATGCACCGGTAGTATCTTTGATTTCTGGCACAAAAGGAAATTTGGTGAAATATCCAGACACCAGAATCTAATCATGTCCTTGGACATGGAAAATATCTAATATCTCATGCCATGGCTCAGGAGAATTCCTGTGGAGGGTGAGAACTGTTTTCAATTGCTGAGGTTAATAGAGTTGATACGTATCACATGACTTGATCAGTGTCCTTACTGAAGCTGGGACAACATATGGATTCCCACACCAATTTCTTGGGTTTTTTCAGGGTCCATATGAATATGGTCCAGCATGGCTTAATATGGAGCTTGCTTGCCTTTGAAGTTTACATTCTTGGAGAGTCCTAGCTCATTTCTGAATGACCAGAACAAATGTACGAGCTTAGGGACTTGAGCTGGTGTTCAGGCCAAAGTTGATATTTTTGCAGCTGATCATTAACTGCTGTAACTTGCTGAATCTGATCTGACTGCAAACAAAACGCATAAGATTTTTGTTGAGACTCCATTCCAGTTCAGATTTACTAATATCCGCTTGTAGATCTAAGAATATCTTTTATTTTTATTGGGATCTGGAAGTTTGATAACAGCATTGGAAATGATCTTTCTGGAACCTGATTTGTGTTGTATGTTGAAATAATAGCCTTGAAACTTCACAAGTTGTCTTTGGAATTGTAGGGGTGCACTTGTTCGAGGTTTTCAGCAGATCCTTTTTGATGACTTGCGATCAGCATGAACGATGAAATGCTTGCAAAATAGCTTCATTGAAACCGTTATTCTGAAAACTAGAGCAGAATTTATCCTTTCAATGTTCAATTGTCATTCACCTGAACTGTCATACAGACCTTAGAACCAAAGAGAATTGGCTTGCTATCCTGTAATAGATATGGTCTGAGGGCTTTCTGGGGGGGGGCACCTACTTCCCGTGTGCTAAGCTTTCAGGGATCATAACATTGAAGAACACACTGGCACGCTCAAGAGACTGAAAAATATGCTGGCAATTTTCCAGTCATATGTATGCTGAGTTTTGTGGGGATGATTCAAAGAGGAGAGATTTTGGTCACAGGATTTGGAATACACAGGAATTAAAAAGTTGAAGAAACTGAGACACCTTTGTAAATCATCTATTTTGCTGTGTAGACATTTCTATTTATCTTATATTTTGACAAGATCAGGTTGAATGTTGGATGATGAGTATATTGAACTGAAGAAATTGTTTTGGTTCATGTTAATTTCATTTTTGTTGTTACTGTTCAAAACAAAAACATGTTTCCTTGTTGCTGCCATGAGCTGATGGGAGTTTGTGTTGTGCTCATGGTCAGTTCTTCTCAGGACTGCAGTGTCATCTGTGACACCAACATAACCTGGTAGATTCTTAACAATATGATCCACATGTTGTTGGAATATATACTGGCTAAATGGTAATCCATATGGGAATGTGAAGAAAGTGGATCTACTGTAAGGTGTTTGAAAAGTTGTCAGTTCCTGTGACTCTGATGAGAGATATATGAAAAAATATCTGTTTTGGCATCAAGCTTGGCAAAATGTTTAGTGCCTGAGAATATGAGACTAAGCTCTTCCAGGATTGGAGTCTGGTCTGGGCATCTGTTTAGTGCAAAATTCAGTCACTTTGGATTTAAACAGACACATATCCTGCCATCTCTTCTCAAAACAGAAAATGTTCTGGTCAGCGAGAACCTCATCTTACCTGTTGCGAATTTGGTGTCTGTTCTGGAACTGCACACCCCGCTGGAGCATCATTTTTGCGGGACAGTGAGTCGCCAATTTACACACATCCGACTTACGAGTGCTCGTAGTTATTAATGTGATCCCATACATGGTTGTAATTTTAAAGACTCGACAATGTACTTAGAAACAGCTGTTTTCCACTGTTGTGCTTTATGTTCGAAACTCGAGAACAATTTGACTTGCAAACAGACTCCAGAACAGAACCCATTCAGAATGCGGGGACTGCCAGTGTACTGATGAGTTGGCACTGAGTGAAACTGTAGGCTGCCTGGCCTTTACAAATGGCACTCAAAAGGACCACTCAGTTTGAATGACAAGCCCACAAGAAGTCATCCTTGCACACTGTGGCTACTCCCAGACAAAGAGAGATTTCAATCTGTAATCAACAATCAACATTTCTTCAATCTCTGAAGATATGTTGCTGCTGGGTAGTTAAGGAGCTAATTTTTACTTTCTTCCATTTTCTTGGCAGACATTTTTGGATAGGTATAGTGAGAAGCTATTGTGAGCAGTTAATTTGGGAGGCAGGATTGTTTCCATTTTGAGATTATGCTGTAATTTTATTGGAATATTTTTGTGTTTTGCTGGTCACATTCAGTGGTTCATCCTTTCTTTCATGGCCAGCTTCAACCACCACCCAGCACCGAGAGGCTAAGTACAGTGGAAAGGAGATAAAGAAGATGAAAAATGACATCGCCAATAAAAATGTAAGATTTTAACAAGAAACTACATTCCTGGAGATGAATGAAATTGGGTGTATGTGTGTAGAGTAATTGTTTATTAAAGGATTTATCTAATATTTAATTGTGTTCTCCAAATAAAGGCATGAAACATACAGCTCCTTTCAGTTTCTGTTTTAGTTTCTTCTTTAGTATTTCACGATTGCATACATTATCATGCTGATGTGCAAGGGTCTCTAATCCATTCAAGGTGGCTTTGTTCATTTCCTTTTACATAAACTGGGTTCAACTAAAATAAGCAAAAAAAAAATGGCAATTGTTTTATCAGCAGGGGAAATGGATCAGTTTCAATTGTTTCCAACTGGGAAAAGCCTCAATCGCCTGGCAACTGGAACCAACAGATTTCACATCCAGGCTGGTAACTGTTTCAAACCTCGCAGTTAAACACAGTTTCTTTCTGGTCACATCTTTGAATCTCACGCAGGTGAAGTGAAGAATTGATTCTCAGGGTCGTTAACAATTTCAACATGAACAGCTCTTTTAACTTGGCCCAATGTTGCAGCCATTCTGTAAAAATCAGACCAAAGGAGGCTCATTCAGTGGGACAAATTCACAAATGCAAACACTGCGTTATCAGAAAATAAATAATATTCCACTGTGATTGTGAGTCTTAAATTCTGATGGAATCCAGCAAGGTTTCAATGCTTTAATGAATTGTGATCATGCATAGGCTGATAACACACATAGCTCCATTTATTCAGGCTTTGTCATTGTCAATTTTTTAGGATCTTGCAAACCTTCAGGACGCTGCAAGTTTTCATGCAGTCTGGTACATGCAGGAGACTTGAATGGGCAAGGAAGACAGTTTATGGGACTTGCTATCATACAGTCATAAAGTCAAAGAGATATACAGCACAGAAACTTGCAGGTTCAGTCAGTCGTCAGGAAAGCAAATGCAATGTTGGCATTTATTTTGAGAGGACTTGAATATAACAGCAGGGATGTACTCCTGAGGCTTTATAATGCTCTGGTCAAGCCACATTTGGAGTACTGTGCGCAGTTTTGAGCCCCATATCTCAGGAAGGATTTACTGGCCCTGGAGCGGGTTCAGAGGAGGTTCACGAGAATAGTCCCAGGAATGAAAAGCTTAACCTATCAGGAACGTTTGCGGACTCTTGGACTATACTCATTGGAGTTTAGAAGGATGAGGGGGATCTAATTGTAACGTACAGAATACTGAATGGCCTGGACAAAGTGGATGTTGGGAAGATGTTCCATTGGTAGGAGAGACTAGGACCCGAGGGCACAGCCTTAGAGTAAAGGGAAGACCTTTTAGAATGGAGATAAGGCAAAACTTCTTCAGCCAGAGCGTGGTGAATCTATGGAATTCACTGCCACAGAAGGCTGTGGAGGTGGAGACCAGGTAATTGAATACATTTAAGACTGAGATAGATAGGTTCTTGATTATCAAGGGGATCAAGGGTTACTGGGAGAAAGTGGGAAAATGGGGTTGAGGAACTTATCAGCCATGATTGACGGGCGGAGCAGACTCGATGGGCCGAACGGCCTAATTTCTACTCCTATGTCTTATGGTCTTATGGTCTTATGGAAACAGACCCTTCAGTCCAACTCATCCATGCCAACCAGATATCCTAAATAAATCTAGACCCATTTGCCAGCATTTGGCCCATATCCCTCTTAACCCTTCCTATTGACATAGCTATCCAGATGCCTCTTAAATGTTGTAGTTGTACCAGCCTCCACCACTTCTTCTGGCAGCTCATTCTATACATGCACCACCCTCTGTGTGAAAAAGGTGCCCCCTAGGTCCCTTTTAAATCTTTCCCCCCAACTTAAACCTATGCCCTCTAGTTCTGGACTCCCCAACCCCAGGGAAATGACCTTGTCTATTTGCCTTATCCATGCCCCTCCTGATTTTATAAATCTCTATAAGGTCACCCCTCAGCCTCTGACGCTCCAGAGAAAATAGCCCCAGCCTATTCAGCCTCTCCCTACAGCTCAAACCTTCCAACCCTCTTGTAAATCTTTTCTGAAGCCTTTCAAGTTTTACAATATCCTTCCTACAGCAGGGAGACAAGAATTGCACACTATTCCAATAGTGGCCTAACCAATTTCCTGTACAGCCAGAACATGACGTCCCAACTCCTACACTCAATGCACTGACCAATAAAGGCATGCATATCAAATGCCTTCTTCACTATCCTATCTACCTGTAACTCCACTTTCAAGGAACTATGAACTTGCACTCCAAGGTCTCTTTGTTCAGCAACACTCCCCAGGACCTTACCATTAAGTGTATAAGTCCTGCCCTGATTTGCCTTTCCAAAATGCAGCACCTCACATTTATCGAAATTAAACTCCATCTGCCATTCCTTGTCCCATTGGCCCATCTGATCAAGATCCCATTGTAAAAACCGAAAGAAATGCGGATGCTGTAAATCAGGAACAAAAACAGAAGTTGCTGGAAAAGCGAATGTTCTGAGGGTCACCAGACCCGAAATGTTAACTCTGATTTTTTCTTCACAGATGCTACCAGACCTGCTGAGCTTTTCCAGCAAGATCCCGTTGCACTCTGAGGTAACCTTCACTGTCCGCTACACCTCCAATTTTGGTGTCATCTGCAAACTTATTAACCATTCCTCCTATATTCACATCCAAATCATTTATATAAATAATGAAAAGAAGTGGACCCAACACCAATCCTTGTGGCACACCGCTGGTCACAGGCCTCCAGTCTGAAAAGCAACCCTCCACCATCACCCTCTGTCTTCTACCTTCGAGCCAGTTCTGTATCCAAATGGCTAGTTCTCTCTGTATTCCGTGTGATTTAATCTTGCTAACTAGTCTGCCATGAGCAACCTTGTCAAATGCCTTACTGAAGTCCCACGTCTGCCCTCATCAATCCTGTTTTGTGCCTTTGCAGGTTTTTGGGCATTGTTGTGGACAATAAGGACTTGGGATTCAAAGTCAACTGAACTGATTCAATTGAATCCTGAGAAGACTTTTCCGCTTATGGGACAGACTAGAAATAGGCATACAGTTTAAAAATATGCATTCTTATTTCTGATGAGCTGCCTTCTTGAACAGCTACAGTTCATGTGCAGTTCAAAAAGGCAGTTCACTATCAACTTCTCAATGGAAACTAGAGATGGCAATAAACATCAGTCCATCCAGCAGCGTTCATGACCCATGAGTGAATAACCTTCTCCCATAAAAACCCATAATCCAATAAGATTGCATCTAATTCTGACGGTCGGCATAACACCACTTTCCCCATCTTCCTCTCAATACTATTGACTCCCTTGTCAGTCAAAAATCTGTGTAACTCAGCCTTGAATCAATTCATTCCCCTGGTTTCTGCGGAAGAGAATTTCACAGAATAACAACCCTCCAAAAGAAACCATTTCTCCACACCTCCGCTGTATAAACTGTGGCTTCAAGGGTCTCAATTGGCTCAAGGGGCTAAATGGGCCATTCTTGTATCTTAGTCATACGTTCCGATTGGCTTAGGCATAGCTTATCACTTGGATAGCTTTTTTTTTTCCAATCAGCTGCTGGCATTTACTGAACTACAAAAAGTTGGACTGTCTCTGAGGTTTCAATTTTTTTCTTTAAACATGTTAAGCCGAGGCTGGTGTTCTCTAAGCCTGATTGTAACGATATTGGACAATTGGTTCCTATCATTCCAGGTGGGACATCATTCAAGTAGTGGACAGCGAAGAAGGTTATCTCAGAGTACATCGGGATCATGATCAGATGGGCCGATGGGCCAGGAGTGGCAGATAAAAGTTTAATTTAGATAAACGCGAGGCGTTGCATTTTGGTAAAGCAAACCAGGACAGGACTTATACACTTAATGGTAGGGTGCTGCGGAGTGTTGCCGAACAAAGAAACGTTGAGGAGCAGGTTCATAGTTGGAGGTGGAGTCACAGGTAGACAGGGTAGTGAAAAAGGCGTTCAGTACACTTGCCTTTATTGTTCTGCACACTGAGTATCAGAGGTGAGATATCAGGTTGTGACTGTATATGATATTGGTTAGGCCACTTTTGGAATACAGCATTAAATTCTGGTCCCCCCGCTATAGGAACGATGTAGTTAAACTTGAGAGGGTGCAGAAAAGATTTACAAGATGGTTGCCAGAATTTGAGGGTTTGCATGATAGGGACAGGCTGAATAGGATGGAGCTATTTTCCCTGAAGCATTGGAGGTTGAGGGGTGACCTTAGAGAGGTTTATAAAATCATGAGGGGCATGGATAGGGTGAATTAGCAAAGTCTTTTCCATGGGGTCAGGGAGTCCAAAGCTAGAGGGCATAGGTTTAAGGTGAGAGGGGAAAGATTTAAAAGGGACCTAAAGGGCAACTTTTTCACGCAGAGGGTGATGTGTGTATGGAACAAGCTGCCAGAGGAAGTGGTGGAGGCTGGTACAATTACAACATTTGGAAGGCATCTGGATGGGTATATGAATGGGAAGGGTTTAGAGGGATGTGGGCCAAATGCTGGCAAATGAACTGGGTTAATTTAGTATATCTGGTCAGACAAGTTGGACCAAAGGGTTTGTTTTCATGCTGTACATCTCTTTCACTCTGTCCTGCCTGAAGTTTTAATACCTGTGATTCTGAATTGGACCCCTGGTATCTTTTCCCATGCATGATTGAACCTCGCTTTCTAATTCTACAATCTAAGATATTCCGTATGTTATGGTCACTTTGCTGTCTGTAGAAATTTTTGAAGCTTCATTTGTATTCATTTGTGTTTGAACCAGCATTAGATCTTCTTCAGCTATAGTTACATGTCAAGCATCTACTACTATCTATTGCACTTAGCTGTTGTATATGGATCTGAAAAGGTTAATACCAAATAACGTTAAAAGCACCATCCACTCTGTTGCTGTTATATAGACCTTTGGGCAGACCAGGTTAGGATCTCAAAGGAGTGAGGCCTAACATCTAGGCCTCCTCAAAGTCTCTAAAACAACATCGCTCACATCAATAGAACCTGTAACCAGTGGTACCATAAAACAAACTATATCTGTTAATGACAGAACCCCTTCTAATTACACCAGCAAGTGGTATTTCTTTACCGTTCTAAATCCAGTAGGTCCTGGGTTTTTCCTGCACTGAGCGTGGTGATATAAACCTTCATCATGAGCAACAGTTCTTGACAAGCGAGCTGACATGCTCATCTAATACAACACAACACTGGCAGGTCCTTCCATTTCAGATGCATTACCTTCAATTTTGCCAACAATGTCTCACAGGTAAAAGCTGACATTACACGATGCCAGTTTCTCTCTGGTTCCCTGTAGTACTCGAGCCTTCATCAAAGGGAGGAATTTCTCCCTTGAACTCTGTGGGGTGGCACAGTGGCTCAGTGGTTAGCACTGGGAAACAGTGAGAGAAGCCGTACCGTTATCAAGAAGAAAAAGTTACAACACAAGAGAAAAGGGCAGTACTGATTTTTTTTTAATGAGGAAAAGTAGTGAATAATCATGGGATTAAAAAAAACTCACTTCAGTCACACAGGCAAGCCTGGGTTGAAGGCAGACTGCTGAACACTGCAGTATCGCAAATTTCCAAAAGGCTCGGGTCTTATTATGTTTGTCCTCACAGCTACTTTCACTTTCCTATGGTAATTGCTGTGACCACTCCCATGACACCATGCTGCAGCAAGTCATAAGCCTCTCTTGACATTTTCGTTCCGTTTTAGAATTTTAAGCTGTTTTATACAAATACACAAGTCGATGACTGCTCACATAACATTACACTGTGTTTACGTGCAACAAACTCAAACTGAACAGAGATTTATTGCATCAACATTGTAATAAAAGGCCACTAAAGCATGAGGGAACCAACAAGAGGGAAAAACATACTTGACCTCATCCTTACTAATCTGCCAGCTGCAGTTGCATCTGCCCATGACAGTATCGGTAAGAGTGACAATCGCACAGTCCTTGTGGAGACGAAGTAGCGCCTTCACATTGAGAACAACCTCCATCGTGTTGTGTGGCACAATCACTTTGCTAAATGGGACAGACTTTGCACAGAACTAGCAACTCAAGACTGGGCTTCCATGAAACGCTGTGGGCCATCAACAGCAACAGAATTGTACTCCAACACAATCTGTAACCTCATGGCCCGGCGTATCCCCCACTCAACCATTACCATCAGGCCAGGGGATCAACCCTGGTTCAATGGAGAGTGCAGGAGGACATGCCAGGAGCAGCACTAGGTATACCTGAAGATGAGGTATCAACCTGGTAAAGCTACCAAACAGGACTACTTGCATGTCAAACAGCGAAAGCAGCAAGTGATAGACAGAGCTAAGCGATCCCACAACCAAATGTCAGATCTAAGCTCTGCAGTCCTGCCACATCCAGTCGTGAATGGTGGTGGACAATTAAACAACTCACTGGAGGAGGAGGCTCCACAAATATCCCCGTCCTCAATGATGGAAGAGCCCAGCACATCAGTGCAAAAGATAAGGCTGAAGCATTCGCAGCAATCTTCAGCCAGAAGTGCCGAGTGGATGATCCATCTCAGCCTCCTCCAGTGGTCCCCAGCATTACAGATACCAGTCTTCAGCCAATTCAATTCACTCCACGTGATATCAAGAAATGGTTGGAGACACTGGATACTGTAAAGGCTATGGGCCCTGACAACATTCCGGCAATAGTACTGAAGATATGTGCTCCAAAACTTGCCGCTCCCTTAGCCAAGTTGTTCCAGTACAATTACAACACTGGCATTCACCCAACAATGTGGAAAGTTGCCCAAGTATGTCCTGTACATAAAAAGCAGGACAAATCCAACACGGCCAATTACCACCCCATCAGTCTCCTCTCGATCATCAGTAAAGTAATAGAAGGTGTCATCAACAGTGCTATCAAGCAGCACCTGCTCAAAAATAACCTGCTCAGTGACGCCCAGTTTGGGTGCCGCCAGGGCCACTCGGCTCCTGACCTCATTACAGCCTTGGTTCAAACATGGACAAAACGGCTGAATTCCAGGGTGAGGTGAGAGTGACAGCCCTTCATATCAAGGCTGCATTCAACCAAGTGTGGCATCAAGGAGCCCTGGCAAAACTGGAATCAATTGGTATCAGGGGGCAAACGCTCCGGTGGTTGCAGTCATATCTGACATACAAGAAGATGGTCGTGGTTGTGGGAGGTCAATCATCTCAGCTCCAGGACATCTCTGCAGGAGTTCCTCAGGATAATGTCCTCGGCCCAATCAACTTCAGCTGCTTCATCAATGAGTTTCCCTCCATCATAAGGTCAGAAGTGGGGATGTTCGCTGATGATTGCACAATGTTCAGCACCATTCATGATTCCTCAGATACTGCAGCAGTCCATGTTCACATGCAACAAGATCTGGACAATATCCAGGCTTGGGCTGACAAGTGGCAAGTGACATTCGTGCCACACAAATGCCAGGCTATGACCATCTCCAATAAGAGACAATCTAACCACCGTCCCTTGACATTCAATGGTGTTACCATCACTGAATCCCCCACTATCAACATCCTGGGGGTTACCATTGACCAGAAACTCAACTGGACTCACCACATAAACACAGTGGCTACAAGAGCAGGTCAGAAGCTAGGAATACTGCAGCAAGTGACTCACCTCCTCACTCCCCAAAGCCTGTCCACCAGCTACAAGGCACAAGTCAGGAGTGTGATGGAATACTCCCCACTTGCCTGGATGAGTGCAGCCCCAACAACCCTCAAGAAGCTTGACACCATCCAGGACAAAGCAGCCTGCTTGATTGGCACTGCATCCACAAGCATTCACTCTCTCCACCACCGACGCTCAGTAACAGCAGTGTGTACTATCGACAAGATGCACTGCAGAAATTCACCAAAGACCCTCAAACAGCATCATCCAAACCCACGACCACTTCCATCTAGAAGGACAGGGGCATCAGGTATATGGGAACACCATCACCTCCAAGTTCCCCTCCAAGTCACTCACCATCCTGAGCTGGAAATATATCGCCATTCCTTCACTGTCGCTGGGTCAAAATCCTGGAATTCTCTCCCTAATAGTATTGTGGGTCAACCCACAGCAGGAGGAATGCAGCAGTTCAAGAAGGCAGCTCACCACCACCTTCTAAAGGGCAATGAGTGATGGGCAAGAAATGCTGGCCAGCCAGCGATGCCCACATCCCACAAATGAACAGAAAAGAAAACTTAGTATTTTACAGGAAATCTAGATAAATGGATGAAAGAGGGCACAGGATGAAAGGAAGCTTGTGTGGAGTTTACACACAAAAATAGTTCAGCTTCCTTACTGTAAATTGGACAAAATTTTCAAAAGCTTCAACAATTTGATTTTATTTTTTGAGCAAAAGCTGGCATACGTGTAAAATATAATGAATGAACCTCAGAGAAAGCAAGGACCAAACGTTATAGTTCCATGCTAGCAGCTTAGTAGGCAGAGGAGATATCATTCCCACAATAGCTCACCCATCATTGTCCCACATACTCTGACAATCCATTTTATTGAAGACCGGCAAGGCCTAGACTGGCCCACACACCTCTTCCCAAATTGATAAAACAGTGTGGAGCTTAGAAGGGTCCCGACCCTAAATATCAGGTTTCCTGCTCCTCTAATGCTGCCTGGCCTGCTGTGTTCCTCCAGCTCCACACTGTGTTATCTCTGACTCCAGCATCGGCAGTCCTCACTATCTCTTCCCAAATTGAGTTCCTTTACAGAGTCAATTAATAATCACAAGGGCTGTTTACTGCTCAACTTCAATTTTGAGGGTTTTAGGAAGAGTTGTGGGTCATGGGAAACTCTGAACTTAGGACAAGAAGGAAGGTGACCCTCCCTGAAAAGCCTCATTTCAGCACTGGGTGTGCTGCACATGGTCTGCTCCCTCTTTTGTGTTTTCTGCCTCTGTAGCCTCTCTGGTGAGACACTCACCTTGCTCCCTCTCGTTCTCTTTTTGTCTTTCTTCATACCTACCTTGGCTACAGCCGCTGTAAGATACCTCCAGCCAATCCCTCACTTCCCTGGTCCCTGACTCTGGGGCTTTGAATCTGCTTGTGGTCCCAATCATAGTCACTCCTAAGACTAGCACTGCAGGGTGTTGGAGGTATAGTTGTTAGCTTGCTCGCAGAGCTAGTTGTGCTATGGTGAGAACAACCTATTCATATTATACATTCATATAACCACAGAACAACCGGCTCGGCAAGCTAACGAACAACTGCATCCACAACCCAAGCTACAAATTTTCTCTAAGACTTTGAAAAAGTGTTGGAGTGTATTCAGGAAGTCCTGTCTCCAGCCAGTATCAGGAAATAGTACTCATTCCTCACTCCGGATTCTGCCTGGGATTGGGCAGGAAACCCTGCCATCCAGAAAATCAATCCTGCACAGAACTGATTTTTCACTTCTTATTCGGACCAAGAATGCAGGTTGTATTTCTCCATTGGTGTCTAACTGATGGAATTCTCTGCTAGACAGTCCCGTTTTGAAGTTTTAGCAGTTGCTCAAGTTTACACTGTTCTAGAAAAAGGTAAGAAATAGGAGGTGAGAGTGACAGCCCTTCACAATCAAAGTCACATTCGACCAAGTGTGGCATCAAGGAGACCCGGCAAAATTGAAATCAGTGGGTATCAAGGGCAAACTCTTTGCTAGTTGGAGTCATTCCTGGCACGTAGGAAGATGGTAGTGGTTGTTGGAGGTCAGTCACCTCAGCTCCAGGATCTGTCTACAGGAGTTCCTCAGGGTAGTATCCTAGGGCCAACCATATTCAGCTGCTTCATCAATGACCTTCCCTCCATCACAAGCTCAGATGTGGGGATGTTCGCCGATGAATGCAAAATGTTCAGCACCATTCACAACTCCTCAGATACTGAAGCAATCCATGATCAAATGCAACAAGATGACCAGCAGTGTGCCACAACAAGGATCAGTGCTGGGTCCGAGATAACAAGGTGTAGAGCTGGATGAACACAGCAGGCCAAGCAGCATCAGAGGAGCAGGAA